GTGTTTGGGATGATACAGTAGCTTGGATTAACAGCCCACCAGCAGCTCCTCTTCTTGTGTCAGTAGTTTTAGTAGTGTCAGACTGATACTGCAGGTCCTTTTTCAAATGTGTATTAGCATTTGATTTAAAAGTGTTTTCCATGTTTTTTATATTCATGTAGATGTTTTGACTCTTTTGTTTCAGATTCAACAGTTATTATTATTATTTTATTCCCACATCACCTTAATATCATATTCATAACAAGTGTTCAGCCTGAAAACAGTAATGCGTTAGGGCATGTTATTTCAGTACCATTGAGACTTCAGATGCAGTCCAAGAAGGCCGGTTTGAGTAACAGATCCATGAGTTTGAAGGCTGATTAGATGAAAACACACGGCACAGCACACACGGCACAGCAGATTATTCAACTGTGTTTGATTTTACATCTCATGTTACAGAGTAATGTATCAAAAATGCACTTCAAAATCTGTGATTGGCCAATGCAGAAGACGCTGCATCAGTGCTCATTTCGTCAACAAAACTACAAAAACATGCAGGCTGGCCCGCCAACATTTATAATCAGAATCAGAAATACTTTAAGTAATAATAGAAAGTTGTATATATAGAAGTATATAAATATCAGATTAAAAATATAAAATACAAACAAGATATAAAATGTGGATATATACAATATTTACATAATGTTACAATGCTATGGTAAGCTAATATAACGTCAAGTGCTGTGGATGTGGCTGTATTGCGTTACTTTCAGTTGGCTGTCTTTTGTGTTGCTGTCAGAAGGAATGACTAAGTGTTCCAGGATTAGAGCATCTAAATCTTCCTCTAGATGTTTGCTAAAGAAATATCAATACTTCATTAGATGTTTTAGTTTGGAAATGATAACTGGATTTACAGAGGAGAGTCGGTCTGTTGTATTAACTTCAGAGCAGAATAACATGGACAAATGTGAGTTCATGTTCCTCACTGGGTGAATCTTTCTGATGATAGTGGTGACTATTTTTCCTCTTGTTAAGGACCACCATTGGGTCCCCTTGACCAACAATTTAGCCTTTGTTAGCTTACTTAAAATCATACTTCATGGCCTGGACACATTACATGTGCTGTGCATATTCATGGTCCCCAGAGAAATAATTCGGTTTTGGATTATGAATAAGGACAAAATTTTAATTTGTTCTTAAGGGATATTAAAACATAATGAGCAAAGCGCCATGAAATATACTTATCTTTCCTCTGGCACAACCATCAGGCAAAAAGGTCCACTTCTGTTGATGAAATATCAAACAATCACATTGATCCCCAGAGGATGAACCTTTTTCATTTTGGACTTTGCATGACTTACTCCACTTTCTTACAATGTAAATTTCAGGAAAAACAAGGATAATTACGCTTTTATGTTTTTCTGTAATTATAATTACATTGTACTTACCGAAGTAATTGCCACCTGTACAATGACGGCTTGTTTATTGGTTTAGATAATCTTGATAAACTGATGGCTTGTTTTGTCCTGTCTCTGTGTTTGTCCTGTTCGTTATAGCAATGTCAGCATGTTCCCGAATCTCTGACATCATTACGATGAGTACAGCGTCAACACAACTGATGGAAATATGGTCAAAACTACAAAACTAACACCCAAGTTGTAAGTAACTGGAATTAACCTTTAACATTTACATTTAGACTCACTACCGGTAAGGCTCTGAGAATAATTTCATCTACAGTATATTTTTGAACCGTAGAATGTAAGGAACATTTCATCCTCTTGGGGCCACCAGCGGGGCTTTGTGTTTTTTCACTTGACAGTGGCAAATGTTTTTACTCTTCAAATTCCAGTGGTACCTGCCTCACTCTGCCCTACAGCTGCACCTGGCAACCTTGTGATCTGGCAACCCCAAGAGGCAGTGAGGAACTGCTGTCTACATTTTTTTTGTTACCCAGAAATTGTGTAGTGTTACATCAGTAAACTGTATACTACAGGGAATAAAAGTAAGGGTGAAGATGGTCTATTAAATCTATTGGCAGCAGCTCCAGCCATCACTGCTTCTCTATAATTGGCACTTAAGACTGATAAGAAAGGTTTAAATCCTGCTTAGTTGAGTCTTAAAGAGCTGCTCATTCACTCGATACAAAGTTACCATCAGGAAATTCTGTAAATCATCAAAGGTTGAGGCAGAGCAGCCAGAGGACATCAGAGGGAGAACCAGAAAATAACTATCCATAAAAATTATAATAATAAATAATAAATAAATAATAAAATTTAGAAAGTTTCATTGGACGCTAAATCAAAATACACCCCCAAGTGCAGGATGAGTCATCTACACTCACCTAAAGGATTATTAGGAACACCATACTAATACTGTGTTTGTCCCCCTTTCGCCTTCAGAACTGCCTTAATTCTACGTGGCATTGATTCAACAAGGTGCTGAAAGCATTCTTTAGAAATGTTGGCCCATATTGATGGATAGCATCTTGCAGTTGATGGAGATTTGTGGGATGCACATCCAGGGCACGAAGCTCCCGTTCCACCACATCCCAAAGATGCTCTATTGGGTTGAGATCTGGTGACTGTGGGGGCCATTTTAGTACAGTGAACTCATTGTCATGTTAGAAACCAATTTGAAATGATTGGAGCTTTGTGACATGGTGCCTTATCCTGCTGGAAGTAGCCATCAGAGGATGGGTACATGGTGGCCATAAAGGGATGGACATGGTCAGAAACAATGCTCAGGTAGGCCGTGGCATTTAAACCATGCCCAATTGGCACTAAGGAGCCTAAAGTGTGCCAAGAAAACATCCCCCACACCATTACACCACCAGCAGCAGCCTGCACAGTGGTAACAAGGCATGATGGATCCATGTTCTCATTCTGTTTACGCCAAATTCTGACTCTACCATCTGAATGTCTCAACAGAAATCGAGACTCATCAGACCAGGCAACATTTTTCCAGTCTTCAACTGTCCAATTTTGGTGAGCTCTTGCAAATTGTAGCCTCTTTTTCCTATTTGTAGTGGAGATGAGTGGTACCCGGTGGGGTCTTCTGCTGTTGTAGCCCATCCGCCTCAAGGTTGTGCGTGTTGTGGCTTCACAAATGCTTTGCTGCATACCTCGGTTGTAACGAGTGGTTATTTCAGTCAAAGTTGCTCTTCTATCAGCTTGAATCAGTCGGCCCATTCTCCTCTGACCTCTAGCATCAACGAGGCATTTTCGCCCACAGGACTGCCGCATACTGGATGTTTTTCCCTTTTACACCATTCTTTGTAAACCCTAGAAATGGTTGTGCGTGAAAATCCCAGTAACTGAGCAGATTGTGAAATACTCAGACCGGCCCGTCTGGCACCAACAATAATGCCACGCTCAAAATTGCTTAAATCACCTTTCTTTCCCATTCTGACATTCAGTTTGGAGTTCAGGAGATTGTCTTGACCAGGACCACACCCCTAAATGCATTGAAGCAACTGCCATGTGATTGGTTGATTAGATAATTGCATTAATGAGAAACTGAACAGGTGTTTTCCCAGGAAATGACATTGTTGGGACTGATACTGGCATAACGCAAGCACAACACATATAAAAACACTCAGACGTCGATTGTGATTTCATGGGGACAGAATTGCTGTGGAGTCCTTTTCTTTCTTTCTTTGCTGATTAATTTATTAGTTTAAGTTGAAGTTTAAATGCTGTTCCACAGACTTCCATCCTAACAAGAATACAGTTGCCGAGTGTCTTTTGGGACTGGTTAGCATCAGCAAAGTACAGTATTAAAGCTACTGGTATCATCAATCCAAAAATATTAAAGCTTAAAAAAAAAACCAACTAATTCTTCAAACATATATTTATATCACTGTGTGTGAATGTGGATTGCGATTACAAATTTGAAATTTAATAAGTGAAGCCCTAGTAACAATCCCAGTTCACTACCAGGCTAGCGTAGAAGGAGCCTAACCCTTCTAAACTAGCCTGGTAGTGAACTGGGTTAAACCCCAGAATAAATGTGCAGATTTAAAAGTGATCTTAAAAAAAAAAAAAAAGATCCTGAAACTTTTAATGAATTAATGAACAGGATTCAAAACCAACTAAAACCCTTCCCCAACTTAACACACCTGTATGTCACTTCATTTTTGTCAAGCGTTTGTTTTTGATCTGCTGGGATATGATGACAGAGCTTGTTTATGAGCCTGTCTTCCTCCGGTGCTATAGATAGACCTCGAAGCCGTCCTGCCTTTAACATCTACAGACTACAAGATGTCACGCGCGTGTATCTATTCTCAGCTGAACCTGCTAAAGCCGAAGTGATTCTTCCAAAATGTCAGCCGTGCTGGCCTCTCTTTCAACAGCCTCTCAAACCCCCAGCAGTCTTTGAGACCTTTGTTACATGTAACTGATGCTCCTGTTGGGCTTGTTGTCTTTGTCTGGTGCGACATGTGAGGAAGCCCAATCTACAGCCTATGGAACACCTCTGTAATTTACTCTGACAGCATATCCCCAAATCCCTCCTACACCACAATGACCCCTGCGGTTCGGTTTCTCAACCTCTTAACCCTCACCCGACCCCGGCGGCTTCCCACTCAGCTGCTAATGTCGGGATGTGTCCTTTTTGTACTCCAACCTGCACCTCCAACCAGGTCTCCATTTCAGCCCCTCTGCTTTGTGTGTGTGTGTGTGTGTGCCTGTTCTTGTGCTTGTATAACCTAAATCCTCCTGCCTTCCCCTGTCTGGGAGCATTAGGGGCTACAAGAAGATGGAAATGTAATAACCACCAAGCTCTGGTGCCCTGTCAGCACGGCTCAGCCTCCAGAGAGGCCTGCCCATCACGGACAGCAGCCACCACGGTGCAGATTACACTGTATACTGCAATAAGCCCGACACATGGAGAAGTCAGAGATTACAGAACCAGCAGACTATTTTCCCCTGCTATTAACGCAGCTGGTACCCTCATCTCCAGTTTCAGCCCGTTGTGGAGTGAGCACACAGCGCTCTCTGGTGGTGAAACACTGACACACCCTGTCACACTTGTTTTTCTGTTTTAATCTGATATTAAAACACATTACAAAGTCAGTATGCAAATACCCTCATTTGTTAAATTAAATTATTGGAAATGCACAAGTCTTGAACAGGTCTTTGTTGGTGTGAACTACAAGCCAAGAGCATAAATTAACCCAAGTTTGCACCTTAAACAGGGAGGCCATTTTCTTCACTTTGTAAATTAATAAATATGACACTACTTCACAGGTGTAAAATACAGGCATACCAAGTTTGACATTAAGTATATATATATTTTTATATATTGACTTAAACAATCAGCCCAGTAGCTCACACTACCTATCATACTGAGATAAAACAATAGATGATCACAATAAAGAAAGTAAATGGAGTCTGTGAAAAACCACTGAGAGAGTTAGGTGCACAAACAATGCAATTCCAGTGAGAGGAGTTCAGTCTGTTTCCATTTAACTACGCACAAAAAAACCACCCAAAAGTGGGTTCAGATTCTAAAGAAATGTTTAGAGAGCAGGTGTTGTTGCAAACATCTTCCTGTAGTCCTAACAGGACGACGTACAGTGCAAAAAACAATACAGCTTGGATGCAACATTACAACACAACAGTGCAATTAATCCCAACCTCAAGCGACACCAACACTGTTCTTGGTAATAAGTCTGTTCAAGAGAAGACGGCCGTGACTTGCAGCCTGCTGCTACTGAGTCAGTGTAAAGAGGATGTGAACTGACTGCACCATTAAACTGTAGACTTTTCAGTTACAGTGCATTCTCGTATCCACGGGTTGTTCGCAGAGGCCTGAAGGATAATTCAGGTAACCACTTACCAGGTATTTCTGTAATTTTGGCCATCATATTTATAGGTTTTGATGACATTATTCTGACCAAGGTCATTGCTGAGATCGGGGAATCCAGCTATATCATCTTTACTAAGGTGAGACAGAGCATGAAACGCAAGCAGTCAGACGATCAGACCGGTTTGTAAACTAGCCAACAGTTTAGCCAGATTACCTGAACCAGGGGTCCCTAACTCAAAAAACTTCAATGGATGACAATGGACGTTTTCCTTCCAAAAGTGCGCCTAACGTGGAGATTTGTTAAAAATCTGTCTGTCGTGTATTCCTTGCCCCATCTGACTTCATTTTAAAAACATTGACACGTTCTCACATCCCAGTAATTCATTTGCTGAGTACAGTGTCATGTTAGAGCAAGAAATTATAGCCAAAATTACAAATATTAGACCCAAGTAATAAACCAGAATTATCCTTTACATACAAAACAAACAGAAGCATACAGTATATTCTTTGTTGTGGTGCCTCTTTGTTTCAATACAAATCAACAAAAGGGTTGAGAGGAGCATGTACACACACACACACACACCAAAAAAAGAAAGAATGGCTACCCTAGTGCTTGGTCTTAGGCCAAGGCAATTTGTGGATTTGGAAATTCTGTGTAGTTACAGTTTCACAATCTGTCATTCAACAAGTCCATACCTGCTCTGCTGGATTAAATAGGTGAGTCTCATTTGACCTTGTTTTCTTCCTGAGTATTTTCTTCTATCACCACTATCTGTACACCTGATAGCTGTCCACTGGCATCCAGCTGCAGCCCCTGAACCCCTTCAGTCTGCGCCTCCTGCATTTGGCACTGTGTCTCCTCCCCCCCTGCAGCCATCGTCACCTCCATGCCGCTCTGGACCACCATGGCGTCCTCGCCTCTGCCCGACTCCCCGGTCAGCTGCAGCTCCATCACTCCCACCGCCTGCTCCATCGGAGCCGGGTTGATCTCGATGACCGTGTGCTCCTGGCTGGCCTCCCCCTCGCCCTGCATCACCTCCTGCTGCACCAGCATGGTGCCGTCCACCACCTGGCCTTCTATGGGCACCACCTCTGCGCCGCCCGCTTGTTGGCTCAGGTGCACCAGCTCTAAGGGGCTCATCATCGTGCCCAGCTGGCTGGAGTCTTGCATGGCGGTGGTGCCCACCAGCGTGAGGCCCGACGACGGGTGCAAGGTGATGGTGTCCGTCTTCCCGTCTCCGGTCACCATGTAGCGGGTGAAGAGCTGTGAGCCGGCGGGGAGCAAGGTGACCGTGTTGGAGGACTGGGCCAGGGTGGCGATGGGCAGGCCTGCCATGGTGAACGGCTGACCCACGGAGGACAGCGAGATGGGGGAAAGAACGGTGAACTGCTGGGGCTGCAGAGCGGCCTGCTGGTTGATGGGGGAGGTCAGGAGGGTGGTGGTGGAGGCGGGCCTCTGGAGGCGAGGCCGCTTGGTCTGGCGCTTGGTGGGAGTTTTGTTTTTGGCAGGCTGTGGGCAGGACAGGAGAGCTCGCACCTGCTGCTGCTTCCTCTGTTCTTCCAACTGCACCTCCAGGTCTACGCAGAACACACAACAGTATGGACAGTGAGGGTTGAGTAAAATCAACGACTGAGCACCCAAAAAACGCCATGCGTCCAAACTCACACAAACACCTGACTTTTTAGTAATGTTTCATACCTTTAAGAGTCATTTCAGGTCTTGTTGATGACTGTTTAGCAGGAATTTCAATATTGATACTAGTTTTTGTCTCAATGCATTCGTAAGCTCTAAGACATTTGTAAGCATTTCACTGCAAAATGTATGTACTGTATACATGTATGATGAATACTGCATAGAGTATCCAAAATGCATAATGTTTTGCAGAATCCTTAAAACTATCCATCCCAAATTTAAGGAGAGGTTATTGTTCAGTATACTCAAAATATGAATAGAGTCGCGAGGCAGGCTCTTTTAATGATATCCTCAATGTTGCTTAACATAGAAATCACATCCATCAGTTTGGCACGTCAGACAACTCTAAACAATAATAATACTACAAACACTTATATACCGTCAAGCCTCAAAGAAGCTAGTCAGATGCAAACACTGTACCTTATTGTCTAAAGTAACTTATTATTATTATCATTTTTTAGGCTGCAGGCTAGAGAGTCAGTTTTCTCAACACATCTTCAGCTTCTTTCTGCTGATACTGGTCCACAAAACCTAATTTTAAACTTGGATGTTTCTAGCCGAAATACACATTGGGAGTTGGAGTATTTATGTACACGGGCTTGTGCCTTAGAATTAGTCTAATTAGTGTTGACAGAAGGTGATGTTTCGGCGAAGAGCTGATGAGTGCAGGGCTATTACAGGGGAAACACGTACATGTGTCATTTTCATTCCAAGCGGCAAAAAAAAAAAAGAATAATTGTGTGCAATTACATGGGAAGCGAAACTGAACGAAAAACAAAGTGTGCTGTTAAACTTTAGGCGAGTTTCCTCCTAATCCGCTGTGACCTGGCAGCGATACTGTATCTGTCGTGTGGACTGTCAAAGCTGTAGTTTGGGGCGCACGTATAACAATAAAAAACATGTTGGCAGCATTGTTAACTAACCCTTCTATGTATCTCTGCCTCAAATACACTCTGTGGAATACAGAGCTTGCTTTACCATGCAAGAGGTTGTATGTATTAGTCTGTCTCATTCCTCAGGTGTGTTAACACTCTATTATTTTTAGTTCTGCTTGTTGGGGGCTGATCTGATTCCTCTGATGCTTCTAACCAGAGTGGACCTTCGTGCTGTACTCACTGGCGAGCGTGCTGAGGATCTGCTCCTGGCTGGGATCCGTCTGCTGCTTCCTCCTCTCCAGGATCTTCTTGACTGAGTCGAGCAGGCCGAACACTTGGGCAAGGTTACTGAGCACCGCCACCTCTACCAGACAGGAATCTGGGATCAGTGCGGCAATCAATCAAAGGGTCACTTGGTCAGTCAGAAAGGAGGAACAAATTCAGCTGTTGTAAACACTCAGTCAAGCTGTTGTAAACAATCTATCATAAAGTAGTCAATCATTACAGTTCCAGAAACCAACAGTAGCCATTCTAAAAGCTTCCTGATCTTGGTTTTTCATCCATCAGCTTCCAACAGCAGCTGAATTTGTTCTTTCCTTCCATTTGTTTCTTGTTTATGCACATTCAAGCGGGCCCTAAGTCCTACACAAGTGGTCTGTTCTGATGATGCAGTTCCCAGCCGCCAGTACACATTAGCTTCGTTCCGTACCTGTGTCCTGTAAGGCAGCCGACTCCCGGCGCTGCTGCACGCCGTTCAGCAGCTCCAGCAGCTCTGTACTGATGTTTGTCACCACTTCACCCAGCAAACCCACATCAGCGATGCCCTTCCAGAAGTTCAGCGTGTCCTCTGTGGACACACAGACAAATCCCAGAGTCATTAATGCACACTGTGCGTGTGATCACTAACAGAAGTTATCTTTACAGGGAAAGGAATAATCTGTGTGCTCTCTCAGACCTGAGATCTCATTCGATTCCTTCTTGTCTGCGGACTCCAGTGAGCTCCAGTCCGCCTTCCCGGTCAGAACCTCTGCTCTGTCCTCGCCCACTGTCCCGCCATTACCCAGCATCACCTGAGCTGCAAATTTACAAAAGCAAACACACATTAAGATTGGACATGAGAAAAACATATGAAGATCATGTAATAGGCTAGCTCTTTCCTCCTGTCTATCTGTCACTATCAAATGATGTAAAAGTGTAACAGGCATGCCACCTGTAGCTTACAGAATATGTAACTATATGCTATATAGCCTCAGCCATTGTGGTCTACAAAACAACACTGTAATTATAACTCATATGGCCAATACTGGTGAGCTGACATTAACGTGCAAGCAAGCTCAGCCCTACTGTGACCCTCGCCTTACAGGTCCTAGTGGCCCCTGGAGAGTCTTCCACACTTGTATAGTGTTTACAATATGGCTTACATGCTTCCAAGCTTACCTTAAAAAGAGACAGAAGTGACAGATCAAAATGTAACCAATGTGTCGAAATACTGTCATGCAAGGAAGTCTTTCTGACATGAAGCATTTCCTGCATCTGGTGCATAAGAATTCCCCAGTCATAGTCATAATGCCCCATCAGCTAATGCTAGCCCTGCATGTCTAGAACAACAAAGACAACTTTGGATTTTGCCTTTTAACCAAGAATCATAAAATACCCGATCCTTTATGACAAATGTTTAGCGTTACTCATATAATATGACATAATCTGACAAAAGATTAATAATGCAAAATCTGAATCACTAAAAAAACAAAAAACATTACATAGCCCTACTGGCTGATATCAGATTGTTTTTTACTAAACTGGCATTTGTCAAGCCCTGACCTTGCCATGTTCTTACCTTGAGAGGACGTGGGTGTGGTGAGTCCAGTGCCGTCAGGAGGGAACCTTGTGTTGTTGATTAAAAGGTCAAACTTGGTGCTCCGACATGTATTGGTACACAGCGTGCTGTGCTGGTAGAAGTCCAGCTGACCCGAATCCATCATTTTTCTGGAGAGCAGAGTTAGGAAGGGCATCAAACAGTTAGTCAGTGGAAGAGGAGAAATGGCCATTCATCACTACAAGCAACACCTTTCACAATACATCCAGTCATTTTATACACTGTTAATATAGAACTATTGATTAGTGCAGCTGTAAACTAAAGTAAAACTTGGTTAAACAGCTTGTCACCACAGCGTCAATAAGTATGCAGGAGCAGTTACAATATTCATTGAATCCCTAATATGATACTTTTAATGTCTAGTTTGTTTGCTCATGTAAAGCTACACAGAATATTTGATCTTGTCTATGTTTTGGATTTTTATTCAGGCTCTATCAGTCACATCTCTGCTCGTTATGTCAGCATCAGTACATATGTAAGAGTTTGCGTGACTAATTATAATGTTGTGTAGTGCAACCAACCAGCAGTCAGAAAATTCAAATATTGCTTTTAGCTCACTAACCCAAATATAAGTCCCCTCACCTTAGCATGATGCCACCCATCCTGATGGCTCTCTTCCAGTCTTTCAGAGTGGCTTTCCCAGAAATGTGCACAAACTGCTTCGGGCTGATCAGCTGGTCTTCATACTAGTGGAGAGAGTATTACTTAAGGGACCACGTTGAGTTCATTGAGTGCAATGTCGACTGTCACAGCAGAGATGATAAATGATATTGGTGTACTCATATTGGCCTTCAATAAAACAATTAAAAAAAGTAATGGGCTGTGTCCGAAATCACCACTCATTCACTACTCCCTGCTCTCTATCTAGAGAGTTATAGTAGAGAACTATATAGTGAGCTCACCCACAAAATGAAAGCACTTTTGGACACTAATCCGATCATTATCTCGGGGCCGTTAATTACATCATTGCTGTCGGACAATCAGTCGACCTACATATCTGCTGTGTGTTAAATTGTGGGGACATGTGGTGTCCATCAAGACCACAAGTAAAAACCATGTGATGTCGGTGAGTGAGTCCAGTGGCTGAATGATACCATGTAACTGCAACATCCCCGGTTCATTTCCATGTCATACCCCTCTCTCTCCCTGCATTTCTCCTCTGTATACTGTCACTATCAATTTATTTTAGTGTCATTACAAATATACTTACATTACTTACACAATTGCACCTGTGTGAATATCCTACATCAGCCCTACTCAATTGGCAGCCCGTGGGCCCAATCCGGCCCTGAAGCAACCTCCATGTGGCCCAGCATACATAATCTGATAAATGACAAAAAAGTAAACTACATACAGTGTTTGGAAGTAGCCAAAGACTGAGCTATATCGTTTCCTTCTCATCTTTGTTGAGTTTCACAGGTCGATCACCGCCAATCTAGGGCTCAACAATAACGACTGCATGACCTGCATTCTCTCTCCCCTCCTCTGTGTCTCTGCAGAGCGCCTCCACTCCACACGCGCGCACACGGAGCGAGGTCAGCCAGCTGATCGGTGGACATTACCGACGTTGACAATAACTACGTCCGTTAATACTTTACCAACACACCTGTTTAATAAGCATTTTAATCTGCTCAGTCTCTCAACCACCGCAGCTGTGTGTTTTACACAGGCACAGCGCTAGTTCGGCTAATAGCTTATTGTTACAAACAAGCTAAAGTCAAAGCGGCCTGTCTTCAGTAACTGTTCAGCTTAGTTTGCCACGTACATAAAAATATGGCACATTATAAACTCAGCTGGTGGCTGAGACAGACCCTCCTCTCTACCAGCAGCAGCAGAGGGAGGAAGAGGAGGACAGGAGGGACTGAGTTGTTCATTCTTTCTAAACTTCACTCAGCATCCTGTTGTCAGGAACGTGATTTATATTACTGGCATGTTAGATTTGTTTCCTGTGAGATATTAGTGACTTTGCTGTTGTAAATCCTGCTGCTGCTCTAGAAACATTTACTTAATAAAATATTAAATTCTTGTTTCAAATAATATATATTTTAAAGGCAATTATTTAATTATAAATAGGACTGATAAGGGTATCAATAAAAAACTGAACCAGTAAGGAATACAAGTGTGTCAATAAAATCCTAATGATACCGACCCACACCCGTGATAAAATGTCTGGCCCATCTCTGTGTCCTAGTTTTAAAATCCAGCCCAATAGAATGTGAAATTGAATAGCCCTGTCCTATATCCTCTTAGTTTGAATACGCAATGTATGCAATAGTGACAGCAGCCTAAATTATTTCTTACCGTTTCGTATTTTCTTATATGGGTCTTGGTGCTCAATTTTTCTTTTAGTTCTGAACATTGGTTATGCTAGGCTGCTCTTTACAGGTTCAGCTTGATCGATCGTTATTCTGGGACTCCAGAAGTAGTGCATGTTTATTTCCTGCAGAGTGACTGACTACTGAATGACCTAGTTGCCATTTAGCTAAGTACAGTCATATTTGGCAACAGCCATGTGTTATAGTTTCCTCACCATCTGTTTGTGTTTTAATATTAGAGTTTATGGGTCTTGTGACTCATTTCCACTCAAAATGTAACTGCATGTGGAAGACGAGACTCAAAAGACCAATAGTGAAACCCTGCTGCCTCTGCTGCTGCCATTTTGCTTCACTGTGGAATACCAACCTTCACACATTTTACATTGATTCCCGGGCACACAAATTTCTTCACTAGCAACACAGCTTTACTGTCGCCGCATGTTATGGGTAAGCCAATTTCGACGTCATCTCCCTCCGTTTGCTCTGAAAGAATGAAAAGGTGCAGACAACATTTAAACATGAGGAGACTGGAGGAAAATGTGCTTTTTGTAATGTCATCTGCAAAAACAAACGTAATGTCCAAACATCATTATGACTAGATCTCTCATCTTTTACCTGGATGTGCTTCAACAGCCATCACAGCAGCATCTGTTTCGGCGGATTCGTCTCTGAAAAGAAAAACAGTTTGTATTTTCACATTTCTTCTTGGTGGTATTGAGGATACGGTTTGTCTTGTATCTAAGTATCTACTTATGAGTAGTAACCCTTTATCCCACTGTAATTAAAACCTAAGAGTGGCCTATCATCTGGAATCCCATTATCTTTGTTTGCTGTGTTACAATGTTCTGAACTGCACCCTGAACTGTAGTTTGACCTAGCCTAGTCTCAGTCAGGTCACACTTGGCTTCAGTACATACCCAGTGGTAATTGGCTGGAGCTGGAGGATGACCTGAGTCTTATTAGGGTCATCGGGGTCTTCTTCGCCCTCACCCTTCACCATTACTACCTCCCCCATGGACACTGTGACCTCCTCAGGGGTCGCCATCACACTCAGAGTAGACTACAGAGGAGGGCCGCTTTCATATAACAGCTATCCAGTTTGTTCATCTGAAAAAGGATGAATACATTTTTTTTTTTAAAACAAAAGAAAACATACCATGACAGCTACTGGTGTGTCTGCAGCTGCAGGAAGGCAGCGCACCGTGTCCAGTGAGGCGACACTGCACTCAGCTTTCACTTCACAAACTCACAGCTGAGAGTAAATGAGCATATTTGAGTATGTTTGTTTGTGGGCTGCAGCCGTTATGCATTTTGTTTTGTCTATACATGTTGTCTGCCCCAGTGTTACTTCATTACATTCATAGTGTTGACTGTAAAAGAAGTGGTCGCTAGGCTATTGGATTACCGTAGCTAAATGCCCCTTTTCATTTAGTTGTTCCTTTTTGTTTGATCGTCTAGGTTTTGTCCTCTTTCTGGTTAATTCTAGTATATTTATACTCTATAATCAGTTGTCTACACAAGCTGCAAAGTGCCTGTCAATAAAAAAGCAATTTATTGTTAGTTTGGACATAAGGAAGCCTGACATTTTTCCACAGACATACGCTGTGGTGCCATTTGCGTCCCCAGTACAGATCATATTGTTTCTAAATGTGGACAAATACTGGTTCCATTTGTTTTTTCATGTAAGGGCATGATTTTTGTTTATTATGAACACACTGCAATAGGCTTCTAAGTTTTTTTTTTTTTTTTTTACATTTTAAAAGCTTTGGTTCAAGAATTTTGCCGTGTATGTTATTAAATAATTTTCCTGGTCAAAATCTATTTAATCAAAATCACATCAGTGGAGGGAAAATCAACTGTGCTGCTGTCATGCCGGTGTTGAAGGCTATAAACCCCTTACACACTACGCCCGTCTTTACCATAGCACATCTACCACTCTCAAATACCTGGGCAGCATCCTGACTGAGGGCTGCAACATTGACCACGAAATTCACAACAGAATCCTCATGTTCTAATTCTTGCGAGGACAAACTGCAAGAGCATAGAGGCCACAGTCACTGAACTTCAACTGCGCTGGCTTGGGCACGTTATCAGAATGCCTCAACAACTCCTGCCACGTTAAGTCCTGTATGGACAGCTTCATCTGGGTCGCCGGTCTGCAGGTGGTGAGAAGAAGCGGTACAAAGACCAGCTAAAAAACATCACTGAAGAAATGTTGTATTGACCTCTTAAGACTGGAACCAGCTGCCATCCACCGTTCCAGCTGGCGGGAGCTCTGCAACAAAGGCAGAAAACAGCTGGAAATGGAGCGTAATGTGAGAAACCAACAGAAAAGACACTGCTATGCCTGCCCCCACTAACACAGACTTTATAAGCCCAACGTGCAATAAAACCTGTGGATCAAGAATTGGACTATAGTCATCAAACAACACACCGGTATTGAGGAGGGATGTCATCATCGGACTCGATGGACCACCAGCAAGCAAGTTGGCTATAACACGTAGCCTACCGGTCTACGCCGCTGGTTCTGGAATGTGAAAGCACACATGGCTGCGGGATTATGCCACAATCCTCGGTTTAGTATGAATGTGCGAATGCGGCCTATTGCCAGATATTCTTTCCGTGTTTATTGCGGGATCTCTGTAGGAAAGAGGCTATTGACATAGACGCATTTGAGAATAGCCCCTCTTCTTCGTGCACGATCTGAATCCAAACATGATCGTGCGCTGGAGGAAGGATTGCTGCCGGCTTTTCCCCGCAGAGATGATTCCTGAATCAATCCAAGCTGAATGGTGAACACCGTTGCACACATTTGTCCTTGAACAAAGTCCTTGGCAAAGTCATCAAACTTTTTCAGCATTTTATCATATTTTACTGGTGATTCTATAGGCCCTACATGCAGTTTCAATGGCTCTGTACCCATTCATTTAGATAGAGGCCTGATCTTGTTGGTCCAAAACAACTTCCTAGAGACTTTACCAAGTGGCTGCTGAGTGACGGGACTTGCCTATAAGGACTTTGGTTAACAATGATATGTGAATATTATGTTGTATATTATTATGTATAAGATATATGTATACTAAAAGAAATACATGCTTTTGTTTAGAAATAGCACCCCCACTAAGTGCGGCTGAATGACGGCATTACAGAGCACACCGTAATGCTGACCCAAAGAAAAGGCAGCAAAACCTTGAGAAAAAGAAAGAAAATGGAGAAGGGACAGAGAGAAAGTCATAAAGACTTGTATCAGTGAGGTCTGTGAGAGAGAGAAAAGGTCAAGGAGGAAGAAATGGAGGGAGCAGCCAAGGGCTAAAGTATCCAGAGTCAGGGAATCACAGAGCTCTGCACCTCCAGATAGTCAGCCAGAGCCAAGGTTAGAGCTTGTAATAGGAAATACAGTATCCTTTACATTGAGAAAACATTACACTGCTGTTTTTAAGACTTTTTGTAAACAGCTTTGTGGTATTTAATATAAGTCAGGATTTATTATCATTTGTTTCCTCTGTGTGTGTGGGGGGCGTGGGTGTGTTTTAGGCAACATCTTCAAGGTGAAAAGAGGGAAAGAAATGGGAGGAGAAAGCTCCAACAGGAGGCCCAACTGGAGAGAGAGATAAGAGACAATTAAAAGTACTAAAAAAAAGATACTCAAGGTGGAAGACCAGCTACTCGTCTCCACGGGAAGTGGTGAATGGGATGCTACAGAATCAGAAGATCACTCCACATGTACGCAATCAGAAGATCACTCCACATGTACGCAAGACCCTTATTTTTCCGGGGGTTTTGCGGACACTGCTGAGTCCTACAAGCCTCATGAAAAGAAAGGGTGAAACAAACGGCTACTTAAAAATACAGACTCCAGTCATTCATCTGTAGTGCTCTTGGATTCTCCAAGAAGAGGGTGAAGTTGAACTGGGACGCAGACCTGACCACTTTTCAGAGAAAGAAGAGTTTAAGGAGAGCGGAGAGTAAAGCCTGTATCCATACCTTCTTTCTTCGCAACGATGTGAGTGGTATGGCAACTGGGCGCAAGCAGACCACAACTGTGAGGAAGAAGAGGACGCAGAAGTGACTGCTTACTTACACATTGAAGGATCTTCAGAGGAGATTTGCATCTGAAAACTCAGACAATGTCTCATACTGTCTGATTTGTAAACGTCTGCCCTTTTTGAGTTGTGGCCCCTTCCGACGCTGATAGGGTCACGTGCCAGTGCAAAACGCACAAAAACCTTCAGTTCATGGCTGACACCCTCTACAGCCATGTGTTTGTGGACTCCAAGAACCTTAACGAGATGGTTGACTGTGTTGTTTGTGCCACGGGAATCAAAGCCTGCACTTATGGTGACTGAGTGCTGTCTCATCACTTACCCGAGTTTGAAAGCACCAACAGAGAAAATTGTACAAGTTGTACAATGGTCTGTTGAAAGGACGGATGAGGGAGAGAGGAAGACTGTAACCCTTAAAAAGGAGGTGCAGAGACAATGAGATCCAGTCTGTGCACTTTTGGGGGATAGCGGCACTGTACACCACTGAACAGACACCAGTATCATTCTGTTCTATCTTGTCCTCACGACAACATGACCCACTGGCAATCTGGTCCCACCTGGAGCCTGTCCTGAAGATGGTGAAGACCAAGTACCCAAAGGTGGAGAGGCTTCATTTCTTCAGTGATGGGCCAGAAACACAGTACAACCCTATAGCAACGTCTACTAGGGGTGGGTGGAAAAAATCGATACAGCATAGTATCGCAATATTTTGCAAGGCAATATCGTATCGTAACACGAACGTCAAGTATCGATCTTTTATTATATAAATTGTACATGAGAAGTTTGTTTTTTGACACTACTAAAATTGCTTTTTCATTCCACTAGAAAAAGAGTTTTCCTTTGGGGACACAATTTGAAGTTGGGAAAAAGGTAAAATATTGCTATAAACTGCAATATGTTTAAAATCTCAATAATATCGTATCGTGACATAAGTATCGTGATAATATCGTATCGAGGGGCCTCTGGTGATTCCCACCCCTAACGTCCACCCTCTGTCCACTGAGCCATTAAAGTCAGGGTTTGTAAGACCTGTCATTGAATTTCTTTGAGGCCAGCCATGGCAAAGGAGCTCCAGATAGCATCAGATGGGTCACTGACGTGGTCAGCTGACCAGATTGTGCGCTTGGAGAAAGATGTTCCGGATTCCTTAACTCTATTTAAACAACTGAGGGGACTGGAATCGACAGTGAAGCTCTTCTTTGTCTGTGAAGATGAAGTTCAAGCAAAGACAGAGGTAAAGATGTAGCTCACCCCTGCAAAAACATTCACAAGTAGTCAAGTACCTCCCTCTCTCTCTCTGTCTGTCTGTCTCTCGCTCTAATACGAGCACACACACAGCCTGCTTTGTTGTCAGTTTATGTGGCTCTCATACATTTACTGCTGTTGAGATTGGTAGAATATTTTTAATATTATCTCGTACTACTGTATATCATCTCTTCTCACCTCAGGTCCCTGCTTAGACTCCTGTTAAGGGCCCAATGAGGATGCACAAGTAATCAGTCTCTGACCAGGGCAAATCAAGTACAGGGGCATCAGTTGTTTCTGTCAGAGGCAGCATGATAGTCTGGATTGTGCCCACCTTGAGCTGAAAGTAGCTACTCTGGATGGAGTTCCAGTGACACCGTAAATGGAGAACAGAGACACGCCGTGGCCACCAGAGGCAGTTGACAGGAAGTACAGTGGAGAGTGGTGTGTTGTCAGTTATAAGGATGACGTGTACCCCGGCATTATCATGAACAAGTAGGAGCTTATAATTCAAGCAATGGGTTGAACTTCTGGCCAACACCACCCAGAGATGTCCGCTGGTATGCAGATGAGCAACTTCTGTGTCTTATACCAGAGACAGGCACTCACAAGCGCTCTGTCCAAATGGAAATATCTACAAGACTACTTGGGGTACAATAAGAACACTTGAAATGCACCCTTAAGTTATTTTCCTCTTTGTGTTCTTACAGTTCTTCCTTGGTCCATAATATGCCAAGTTTATTCATGTGGTTTATGAAGATTCTCAGTCATCCAGGTCATAGTTATCCAACGAAGGTTAAAGTCAAGGGCAACTGGACTTGGTTGAAGATACTGGAAGAAGTTTCGTCCCTCATCCAAAGGACTTATTCATGTTAGAATTAATAAAATCCATTAAATCACATCAGGTGTTGTCATTTGTTGGTGTTTTGTCCACCCTGTTACACATTTTTCTATCATAGTTTAATGAAATTACCAAATATCAAGTATATATATCAATACATGCTATTAAATGATTTCATAAAACAAATATCTGATTAGAGTGAGGGACAGATGATTCCTATAAATGTAATTTTAGTAGCAATCATGCACTGAAAAGACATTTAAACAGTAATGTTTAAGTTTTTAACAGGATGGCCATGGTGCCACATGTTGTTAAAATATCTAAATGTAATAAGATTTAGGTGCTAGACCAATATGTTTTTCAGCAAGCTCGATATGTCCTTTATATAATAGAAGATTCAAATATAGGTAAATCAACTATTTATTTATCCCAAGTTATGAAGTCAGAACGGCGCCCTAACATTTTGAAATAAAAAATGCAACACAGTAATGCTTTTTAAAAACATGTAACTGACCTAACGTTACTGTACCAAGACAAAGTGTTTAGTTCACATGTTGTAACCCAATTAGTTCGGTTGGGGAAGCAAATGATACTAAATGCTGTAAAAGTTGTCAGCTAAATATGTTTCACTCCACATTAGCATACAAAACCATAAACCAAACCTCGTTAAGAAATGTGTCATTTTAATGTTAACGTTCTCTTGTCAACTGAGAAAGAGTAACAACCACTAATAGAGCAAATATGTGAATTTATCAGTAGGAATCTACAATATTACGTTAACTTCTATCAACCGGTAACGTTACTCATTTGTACCTAACACTGGGCTAACTTAACGTACTTGTTTCACTAACATTTCGTCAGACACTGTCTTATTAAATTGTCTAACTGCATTATTAAATGCGTTAATAAGTCTTTTTTTAAATTAACTAATTCGTGGTGTGCACATTGGGACTACATTTCTCACAAGACCATAACGATTGATAAATTGTAATAAACCGTGTTCTGTCGGGTATTTATCTGTACTAAACCGATACAGCCCAATGATGCAGCCCCAGTGTTTGTAAACTGTCAGATCTTTCGAGCAGAACGCAACGTTAGTGTTTCCCCCGCGTATTGTGGAATAGAAACCGCGGTTTGCGTGATTTAGGAGGGCGCTAACTAACGTGGGGTCAGTAGACCATTCAGTTACTAGAGCTAAATCCATCCTTTATGTTGCCGATAAATCACTCCTATTTCCCAAATTTCGGTGGGTTATCACGGCTGCAGTGGGCAGCTGACTGTTTTTCTCTTTTGAGAACCACACAGCTACTCAGACTAGGCTCGGTGGTAGCCATTATGGCTAACGCAAGGGCGTAACTTGATGTGTGGGAAACTGGACAATATTGTGAACTATACAGTCCGAGACTGGTAAAGCTGTGCATTTACAGTGTGACGGTTACGTGCCGCTTGTCTCTGAACCGTACGTCCCTTCGTAACTCTGCATTTTAACTCTCCGCTCCCCCTCAAAATGACGTCTCCCTGTGCGGCGGCACGTACAGCAAACAACGGCACGGCGACGGCGTTGCCCCTCCATTCTGTACGAGCCAGGCTGGCTGAACCCCCTCCGCAATATACCCGAAACCTCCGGCTAAAACTACCGTTTGTGTCGTAAGAGCGGTTGATATTTTACAGCCAAGTCTATTTAAAATCACATAGTAAAGAATTAGCTTGTCCTTACCGTTTTATGATGAGAAACGCAGCCCTAGATTGTGGTGAGCTGCGGCGCATGCGCACTTGGCTGGTATAGCTTGACTTCCTGCTGAACAGCGCTCGCCTTGTTATCACGCTCCTGTAAACACTGACTTTCAACTGTGACCAAAGTAACTTTATCATATGGAAGAGAGACAAGAGTAGGATGTCATATAATAGTATGTCGTATTCGGTGACACCTTCAGGGTTTTGTGTGTGTATATTTAAAGATTATCGTATATCCAGCTTGTATCCCAATTTGCGTTCATTGGTGGGAAAAGTGGCATTATAATGTCGTATTTGAATAAATTCTATGACATTTATGAATAGTGAAGCATAGAGCAGTGCGGGTAAAGCACCGACCATCCAACTGAAGGCTTAATTTCTGCCATAAATCTACCAGGGTAGGGTACTTGTTGTTTGTTGAATTATACATTATAGATTCATTCGTTTTCAACATTTTAAGCGAGGTGGTCATTTCGTTTCATACCTATTTAACATTTTGTGAAATCACTGAGGTCATGGAAAGTTGCAGTTCGTTTATGACGGGTTTGCAAACACTATGGGGGCCTGGGAGTATCAACACATGTCCTCCCGAAGCTTCCGTTAATTTTTGTTTTTCTTTGTACAGGTAAGGACGGGGCGCCAGGAGAAATGATCACCAGCAGCCCCTGCTTTAAAAATTGTGCTTCCGAAATCTCTTGATGGCGATTCCGCAAGAAGGGTGGTTTATCCCCACCCCTCCTGTGCCAAACATAGCAGAAGCCCTTTTTAACGATGACTCTGAACATCCCACCTCCTGACCGGTGGCAACATGTTCCTCACTCAGAGGTTTGGGAGCTGTGAAAGTGCCTCTGTGTTTGCGTCTTCTACTGTGCGTGGCATAGTGCAAATGATAATAAATATACGTCAACAAGCATTATATTGAAGTATGCAGTCATTAGTCAGTAATCGTCGACACTTGAGCATATTTGGACGTGCATGTTTGACAGCCGAAGAGCATGATGGGAAAAAAGGGGCGGGGTAAACTAACAGCGTTGGCTTTCATATTGGTTGCTTTGCGCACTTCGACTAGTGCTGCGTTCAAGAATGTGGGGAAATCGACGGGCACCTAGAAAAACAAAAGTCTTACAGTGGGGATTTCGCTTTTGGAAATTCGTCTCTTTCTCTCTCTCTCTCAGTACGCCGTACATAGTTAGTCCATATTAAAGACAATGAAAAAGAAAAATCACGTACAGGGCCGAAATAAATAATATATAATATGTTTGTATTAACATTTTATTCTGTTCCATTATATGGCCTATACCTTCTGTTCCCCTAAATGCTGTTTTTAAGTCTTCCTAACACTGTCAGGATATCATTCTGTGGGGCAAATGCCGTTTCTACATATTGATTAAATTTACAATTTTACAGAATTACCCTTAACAGGCGACAATCTGTAATTTGTGTGCAGTTGTAAATATAAGCTTCGTTTCATGTTCATATCCCCAGACACAATACTGAGGACATGACCTCAGTGGAATATCTAGTGGCTACGATGCTGATACTTTGGAGGCATAAAGCAGCAAGGAATTCATGTTGCTAAAAAGAAAAAACACTTGGTATTGCCAAGTTCTTTTAGAGGCAATACAAAGATTATAGGCATCATAGACTATTGTTTTTTTTTTATATAGACAACTGACACCAGATAAATAAAACATGTTTATTTTAGATTACATCCACTGCCAAACCAGAGCTCCCTGTTAATAAATAATCTATTTTATTTCTATTTTATTTTTATTTTTTTGCTTTTTTCCTCTTTTAACTGATTGTAGCAATATCTCCATCGGGTCCTCTACATCTCTTGTCCAAATCTAAATTTTTATCAGAGTAACTAGGTCATGATGATCCTCCCTCAGTCTGTCAGAAGAGGGCGCCAAACCCTTGCTGAAAAACAACAAACCATGAGTCCAAACGTTATTCATCGGACATCTATTTATTTTTGTTAACCAATCAATAAAATCACATCAAATAAAAGGCAATTATACATAATATATAAAATAAATAACATTTATTCAATAAAGCTGTGAAATGTGACCATGGGGATCAGGAGCGGAACAGTTTTGAGCTATGTGCAAGGCCTAACAGCTACTGATGATGTCTGGTACAGAAGCCCTATCAGTGGGTTGGTTTGATCATTCCTGTGGACAACATAAAAACACCATTAATTCAACATTTTGGGGAATTTGATTATGTATTTTCTTTCTGTGAGTGGCATGAGAAAATGATTACTTGTGGCTTCTTTATTCTGTTTTAGTTCAACTATGAAAAATATGGTAAATTTCAAAGATTAACATCTTCCTGATGTTTTCTTGATTTGACTGTGTGTCTTCCTGGTCACAGCAAATTCATAGTGCAGAAATTAACATAAAATAACATATTTCTTTACCTTAAATAGTCCAAAACCAACTAAAATTGACAATTGAAAGCAATGACAATGAGCTGCTCGTTCTCTGTTCAGCCACAGACACAGTTATGCAGTATCTCCACTGGTGCTTACGCAGCCTGGCGGCTTTTCGCCTCTAAATCCAATGTTTGTCTGATTTTGTTGAAACAGAATCTCAGTGTCCCCTTGTGTGCACAAAACAGCAACTAACCCACTATCGATGGAGGAAATGTGCAGTATCTGAAACACAATACATCATCAATAGCGTGTTAATAAAAAAAAAAACACACAGTAAGTGGTTAAGTGGCCCGTACATGTTAAGTCTGAATGTTTAATATTTTTGTCTTTGCAGTTTTGACAGACTCAGAGGCAGCTGAGCTTGTTGTAGGCTTAAATATCCTCGGTTTTATGGGTCATATTGTAGATATTGTAGATCCTGCTGTAATATTATTTCCACTCAAGTCTCAGATTTAACGTAAGCATGTAAGCGTTCGCTTCTAGTTATGGCTGATGAGAAACAAGCTTATTTCTTCCCATGAAGTGCCATTTCTTCTTGGTATATTTCCAATGTTGTCCTTTGAATTTAACCACTGCTTTCCAACTGCTTTCTGAGGCTGCCATCTTCACACCTCACATCACACCTTGCCGTGCAATGGGCCCTTCTGATGTGCAGTGCTGAGGAATGGGAATCGTGCTCACCGGTTTGCTAACAGCACAGTATTAACATACAAACTCAAACAACATCATACAGTTGAACCCTGTTTAGATGAGAGACACAAGTGAGGAAGGTAGTTGTAGTATTTAGTAGTACAGACTGGTTGTCAAATGGTGATTTTGGACATTGCAAGGACATTTAGTTAAATTTCAAGGCATAGCACCCCGGTGGTGAAGTCCTCATCTGCACCAAGAACACAAAATGCTAACATCTGATTGTCAAACAAACCGATCTGGTGGGTTACCAGGAAGCTTACAGTTTGAATCTGTACAGACATGTAAAAATAAAGGGATGGTTTAAATGTAGTAAAATACATCCCTTACCAAGCTGCATCCGCAAACTGTATGGTATATCTACTGGATCACCAATACAGGTCACATGAAGGCAAAGTAAAAACTGTAGAATGCATAATCTTTAGCGTGTGTGAACGGATATATTGGTGAGATGCTGGTGAAAGGTGAACTAGCAGTGAGTTTAGTTCCCAGGAAAAGTGTACTGTAGTCTATTGTACGCTCCAGGCCTGTAGACAACAGATTAATAGTGTCTGCAGCCAACAGCTTCTGGAGACTTGAAAGCATTCATGATCCTCTGGATCAGAGGTTGTTACTGCTGTGTTTGAAAGTCGTGTGCGCGGACGTGCATTCATCGTAAATACAGCTCACTGCTCAGAACAGCAAGCTGACCATCACAGGCTTCATCACAGCAGGCATTATTAGTGTCACAAGCTGGCAAATCCCAAATACTCATATGAAAGCTTAAGTTTAGTTATGTCAATGGAGGGTCACTATTACTATGTTAACAAAGAATTTCAACAACTTTAAGCACAGATTTATTTTAAGTTCAGTGAAAGTCCTGGCTGAAAGTTAACTAATGTAGGCGATCATTGCTGCCAGATTTGTTCGAGTAAGAACAGGCTTTTTTTTATAGCTTAAGAACATATTTCAACATTTTGGAAATTCACGCTTCTTCATGAGAGTTAGATGAGAAGATTGATCCCAGTCAGAAGGTGACTAGCATAGCATAGCATGAAGACTGGAAGCAGGAGCCGGGGAACTAGCCTAGCTCAGTACAAAGGGAAAAAAACACAGCTCTAAAGCTTACTGAGAAACACGCTGGATCCCATTTGTTTTATTTGTACCCAAACAGAAATGTAAAAAAAACGAACAACAGTTTTGTCACTTCTGTCAAGTGTCTCCGGCTAGCGCAGGAAAGTAGAAAGTCTGTCAGCACAACTTCTAGCCTAATTATGTGGCACTTAGATTTCTGTTTGTGTACGGATCAAACTGCTTTCCAACACTCTGAGGCATTATATTGTAATGTGTGAATTCTTGAGCTTTAGAGTTGCTGCCTGGTAGGCCTGTCTTTAAACAACAGAGGGAGCCAAGCTAGCTGTTCAGTTTTAATGCTAAGCTAGGCTAATCGCCTCTTGGGTTCAGCTCTGCATTTAATACACAGAAAAGAGACAGATGTCAATTTTCTTATTTATTACTATTATTATTATCATTATCAGTAGTATTTATTCCACACAATGTGGACCTATCCACCTGCCTTGCAAACTGCATCGAGCAAAATTGAGCATTTTGTCATGCAGGTGGCTCCATGGCATGTTGCCTGGACTTCTGAGCTCGGAGATAAACTGACCTGTAGTGGGTTTGAAGGACTGTTATAACCACGGTGAAAGAAATTCTAATTTACCATGTTGCCCAGGTTTTCTACTTGAAGCCTGGTTTTTCTCCAGGCTACTACCTACTCTGGAACACAGCAGAATTTATAGGCCCACAGAAGCAGCACATATTTCCACACCATTGGATTTAATGTGTTAGCATCCATCATCTGCTGAGAGCTGAATGGAACATTATTTTTGTGAATTGAGCTTTGAACAAAAGAAACAGCGGTTTGTCTAAGCTGTTGCCGACTGCAGGTGAAATTCAAACTCCCTTTTGTTCTTAATCAAACACATCTCTGTCTGATCTACTGCTGAGAAAATCATTAGAAGGTCTGATGACTGAGAGGTGACGCATTTGTCTTGCTCCTGTTGATGCTATGATACAAATACCTAAATAGGACCACCTACCCTAATTACAGTGGCCTAACTTTATGTATACACCTAAACTAGAAACAATCTTTATATTTTTTACAAAAACGTTACTCATCTATTCACAGAAAGGTTTCAGTCAGTTTGGCATAAGTGCACACACAGCTTACAGTAGCAGGAGGAGCACATTGATTTAATATGGTGACACTTATTGAAGAGTGCACTGTGTCTGTTGACACTATCAATTAAAGAGCTTTCAGTGACCTTTAAGCTTTCATCTCTATAGATTTCACTATTATTTACAAGCTTGCAGTCACAAAAGATTTCAGGCAAAGAATCACACACACTTTGACAGGTAGAAACCCACAACAAATGCCAGACCAGTAAGTCACAGTCCATGGATTTATCTGGACCGTCAGTATACTCAGAAGTTCATTAACTCCAGGGCTGTGAAAAGGAGTATCGGCTGAACTCTAAACCCCAACACCTGATCACCTCCACTCTGTGTTTTCAGAGCCTAACAAGGCCCGACACAGGTTGGCTCATGCTACACCACATGAATATAGAGATACAACTTGCCTATAAGATACACATCAGGATGTACAATAGCCCCCTGTTAGAAAAGAATCCCAGTTGTCGGAAGAACCCACACACAGAGGGGGCACAAGCACAAGGTGAGGGAGTGATGGATGGTGATATCACAGGGTGCTGAGCCTGAGTGACTTGGTTTCAATGGACAGCTGTGAAACGAGGTGAGCTCTTGGTGTGACGGGACAGTGTTTGGACAGAGAGTTCTGAGTCAGCAGTGGCAGCCCTTTTCAGCGGTTGCGGTAGCAAGTTCCTCTTCGTCCTCGGCCGGGTAGAGGACCTTGGCTGTGAGGCCACTCTTCACCCCGTCCCAGCCATCGCGGGTGGCGATCTCCCCCATCTTCATCAGCTCGTAGATGTCTCTGGTCAGCAGCTCGAAGGCCCGGTCCACATTGCTGTTGCACTTGGCCGACGTCTCCACGTAGCGGATGCCCATCTCGGCCGCCAGCTGCTCCGCCTCGTCCCGACTCACCTTGCGGTCCTTGTTGAGGTCACTCTTATGGCCGATGAGGATGTAGACCATGTGGTGAGGCAGGATGTGCTCGCTCACCTCCTTGTGCCACTCCCTCACATGGTCAAAGGTCTTGCGATTGGTGAGATCAAAGACTAGTAGCCCGCCCACAGAGTTACGGTAGTATGATGTTGTGATGGACCTAGGGGGCAGAAATGTGGTAAATTGACATGTTAGTAATTCGAGGCAAAAGAATTTTGAATGAACACTTCTGAACATTTTGGACAGCTTTGATGGACACACTACAGCGACCTGTCAGCAAGGCTGCCACTATCCTGAAACCACTGTATGGAAGCTCCAGACCGGTTTAGTCTTTTGGAGAAAGTCTCAAGTCAGTCAAGCCAAGTCAAGTCTCAAGTCAGTGAGGAAAAGTCTAACCCCTAGTCTTGTCAAAGCACGTCCATGTCGAGTCCAAGTCAAGTCTCATGTCCTCATTTTTGTGAGTCAAGTCCACAGCTCTGATAAGATCCATATTCTCCTTCACTCTATTTACAGCAACCACAACTAACTCAAAATCACACACACTGCAAGGATAATCGAATTTTCCACTGCTTTTGCAATTTTGTAAATGTTTGAACGTCCAGGTTGCAAAGTAGTTCCAATCTCTGTGCATTATCTATGTTTTCTGTATATATCCTGTCGCCTTTAAGCACCCACCATGTGCAGTGCACACTGCAGACTGCAAACGGCACCTTCATTATATTTTTCCCAGCGCCCTCAAAACCAACTTGTCCAATGTAGGCATATGCATTCCGTATGCACTATGTTGATTGAAATCAAAAAGGTATCGGAACATTTAAAAGACAGGGCCTCAAAATGTGCTAAATATGACCAAACACATTTGCACTTTAATTGCCCTGCTGGGGATGAATGACAGTACTGAACTGAAATGAATCAATTAACCACATAGGCTAGATCCACTTACACATTTATACATATAGGCTACACAAGCCTTAATCTGTGCACATGGTGGTTTAAAAATTGCTGATTGATTTTCCAAACATGTCTCACAGTCATTTAAAACAGAAGTGAAAGACTTTAGTGTGGTGAAGCCTGACGGAAAACACCCTCTGAAGCTTGGGCTTCAAAAGGGAAAGCAGATCTAAGAGCAGAGCTGCTTCTCCAGACAGAGAAGGAAATTACCTATGACAGCGGGGACACATGAAACAGCACAAGCAACAGGGCAGATGAATGCAAAAACTACATTTGGGTATAAAGTTGTCATCCTTTTGTGTTGCCCTGTAGACTGTGGAGTCAGTATCTCAGGAAATCAAACTGGGGCCTAAATATGAGGAGGCTGCCCATCATCCGTGAATGAATGCAATGATGCAACTCGATTTTGACTGTTTCTATATAGGCCAGGGCATCATAAGATTGAGGCCTATATAATCGACCCTTTTCTCCACTGACTACACTCACTTCATTACATCACAATGAGAGAGGAAAGGGCCTTTATTTAAATTAAGCATTTTATAGTACCTAGCAGCCAACAGCGACAGCAAACCAAGGCCTCTCAATTATTTAACAACAAATATATTCTGCGAGGAATGGTCGTTACATTTAATTCAGAGACATTTTATTCAGGCTCGTTTTTTTTTTTTTTGAAATTCTGTTTAGTACCTGAATCGTTCCTGACCAGCCGTGTCCCAGAGCTGGAGCTTAATTTTCACGCCGGGCTCGATATCAAGCGAGCGGGCATAAAAATCTACCCCGACCGTAGGATCCGCCACATCGCTGTAAATCCCGTCCGTGAAGCGCTTCAGCAACGACGACTTCCCCACCGTCGAATCCCCGAGTAAAATGATCCTGAACTGGTATTGCCACAAAATATCCATGGCATGACTAGTGTGTGTGAAACAAAGCCCTGTGCGCGGCGTGTTTACATGAAGCCCCTGCTGCTGCTGCGGCTCCTGCTGCTGCCTTCTGCTCAGGAGGAGACGAGGAGCACAGAGAGACCTCAGCAATCATGTGATAGATTTACCTCCACACGGGATGTTACAACTATAACCCTGCTGCAGCCGTGAATGGGGCAGAAACGTTATAAAAGAGTCAGGGATAAGCCGTAGTGGTATTTTAAGCCGTAAGAAAGCATATGCTAATTCAGTGTTTTATATATATAGCCGCATATTTACACTCGGACTTAGCCGCAAGTTAGCAACAGACCCATGACCGGGAGACGTTTTTCTACAGTGTGAAATTTTAGCAGATTCTTTCCGCGTGCTTGACACATCAGGGCAATATTTCGTAACTGTTTTTTTGGGGGGAGTTTGACACTGCACTGTTGTTGTTGGTCAGTGGTTGGTCGCAGTTGCTGTCCGTGGTTCTGAAGTAGGTTATGAGGCTTCAGCTCAAGCTGAGCACGGTCATGTCAGTAGGCTATATTTTTGTCTTTACAGGCCTACACAATTTATTCAGTTCTATCTTTCTCTGTGAAAGAAAAATGTGTTTGGCGAAATGTCAGAATATCTGTTTGTATAAGTATTAATGTGTCAATAACGTGACAATAAAACAAAAAGACAGCAAGGGTTCCTAAAGTGAGTGTAAAAATACATATCCCATCATGCAAGGGATCCATGTGAGCTATACGGGCCAATCAACGGGCTGCTGCTCGGCGCTAGTGTGTATAAAAGAACGCGACGCTCCCTTCGCTCGCTCTCTTTCACTTCAAGTCTTCCAAGAGGAAAAGTAGCGCAAACTCAGAACACGGGTAAGGCCCCAACTAGTGTTTCTTTAACTCAATTTATATCTACAAGCATGCGTTTGTCTTACTGAAGAGTTTAATGTACTTAAGGTTTTGTCTAGCCGAAGCTACGTAAGTAATCAACACTAGCTGTTAACTGTTAAACTGACATTAGTTTATGTGAATTAGCTACTGTAGTTATAAGACCAGGTAATGCTTCAGGATGAGTAACCACACGAAGGTAAAATTGCGTTTACGATAACCCAAGTTGCATCAAGCTGGGCTTGTCTTATTAAAAAAAAAAGAAAAGACTAACGTTATAACCTAACGTTAGTCTTTTTTTCTTTTTTTTTCGCCCAAGCGAACGTTAGCCGAGCTAAATGTTAGCGCTAATGCTCGTGAACCACGTGGTTAACTTTCAGCCCGTCCTTAAGAAACTGGTTCATAATTTTGTTCCCTTAAAACAGTTAACTACTTTACTGGTACATTAGTGTACCTAGCCCGATGAGCGTAAACGTTTAACTCCTAACGTTACTCAGATGGTAACTGACCTTACGTGTAATTACAAAACACAACCTGGCGATGGAGGCAACGTAATAGTGCTAACGTTACCTTACCTCCTAACAGTCAATACTATAGTGTTAAAATTTTAAATGACTTCATCAAAATAACGATGATTTTCTAATTGCGCTGGCTTCATCGTATATCACTAGAATATACAATGACTGGCTTTTGTCTTTTCTCCACAGGGTCAACCCATAATTGGAGCTCTGCCCAGCCCCTCTAATCATGGCTATCTGTATAGACTGCAGGTCAGGGTTTTTTGTTTTCTCTTGTCAGGACTTCATATCGTGTCTAAGTAACCGGCTCCTATCGAAGCCGTTCATGCTCTCATGTAGCAGTGAACGGTCAACAGGAAGCCAAAATGAAGACTTTCACCGACGGTCGCTGTTCAGTTTAAAAATAACTGCTCCAGCAACATTTAGGGGAAGGACACTTGAAACCAAATCATAGGGTTAACTTGTTGTACGCATGTTTAAGTGACGGTAACTCAACACTTCAATCTTTCTGCAGGTGTTGGGAAATGAAGATGGAAGGGCAAAACACGAAAATGACCTTCTCATGAAGGTAACATCCTGATCTACATTAAACGTGAACACTCCTGGCTGTGATGACAAACTTGCCCTCACTGAGATTAATCTTGATTGAGACATTATTTTACTGAGCCACATTTGCTTTATTGAAGTTTTAATAAAGCTGTGAAAGAATATATGTAAACTACTTCCTTGCTCCCTTTAGGTGACCTCATGGCAGCACCTGAAGAGACTAGGTGCCACTCCAGGCTGACAAAGATGAACTAATGAGAACGTCTCACGTCAAGGTAAAATGACTGGCTAATTTAGTCCACATTAGCATACAGCATGCTATCCTAAGGACCAGTGCTTGACTGTAGCTCTAGGTTCTCCAAGTGCATGCAAGAGAATTGGGTGGTCTTTGACTGTTGTGGCCCCTTCGTGCCATCAGCAGCCACTCTACTGTCCTACAGAGCTGCTGCTAGTGCAGCAGCTGGAAGTAATAAACATGCTAAAGCTGGTTTTAATTAAGTTTCTTCTGTAGGAATCATCTGCTCGTATCAGTGTCTTGGGGCCGTAGGGGCTCTCAATTGTTCCTGGGTTGTGAAGGTATGTAAACGTGTTGGTCATGTGCAAGTTGTCCTTCTGATCAGTGATGACCACATAACACAATGAGGACTGTTGGATGAAGCTTGCGGATATGGGACTGAGATCAGCCCTTCATTAACTGGCTCCAAAGGCTTGTGAATTGCACTAAATCCACTTTATTTTATTTCAGATCCAGAAACATGCCGGCAGAAGCACGAACAAGTGACTTGGGAATCCAAGGTTGTCTAGCTTCGCTGCTGCAGGCATTCATCTTCACCTGAACTGACTTGTACCTGCAGTGCAGCTAACAAGACTATTACTACTTAAAGGCATGGTCATTTTGTGGCTGTGGTCAACCACTTACTACTGGTATTGTGTTTAATCAGTTTTCAA